AGTCTGCACCAAAGAGAGGACTAGACGCATCACACTAGTTACTAGTGTCAAGTCAAAATATGCAGGTGCATCTAGGCGACAATTCCCGTAAAGGTGGAAACTTATGTTCTGGATCCCAGTGCCAGTCGCAACTAACCAAGTTTACCGGCAAGCATCGTTAAGGCATCTCTGTTCAGGAGTCGATATGTTAACAGAGACGAAGAGTTTCAAGCCAACACAATCTATCGATAAGAAATATATAAAAATAATTTGAATATAATTACAAATATAATCAGTGTTCATCCAGTCGATCTAATGATGAAGTTGTTCTTTTTTGATGATGTGAAAAAATCATACGGATAGGGAAGAGGAAAGTAGCCATGCATACACACTTCCACCAGCTGTCTTTTGAATAACATATGGCTTAAACTGACAGTTCTGTTTTTATCTATGGTCAAAGTAATCTCAAGTTCTATCTTTTGTTTGATAATTTCTTTCTTATATAAATGATTTTTTTCATCACTGACATGAAATATATGCTCAGTTAGTTAATGTCTGTGAATATTTACCAGGTCTGCGAGTGTATATTATTGATCTGATCTGATCTGATCAGTTCTTTATTCAGCTGGGAATCAATTTACAGAAATTTTATTTTTCCATATGGAATTTCTCACAAGACACAAACCAGATTAGATGTTTTTGCTGAAAACTATTACGAGTGTATAATATATTGTACTTGTAGAAATGCATCCGAATATTACGAATACTTGTCAGGTGAGGTGTTAGTCAGTCACCTTATCTTAGTTAGTTTGTGGCTCGCATTAGTACTGAGGAGGCGAATTTCGCCCCCCCCATGGGACTTGTCGGCCGAGTGTACATGCATGCACCACAGTGAGTAGTGACATTCTCACTGAGACTCCAGTTCTCCAGCCATTGTATCAAATATCAAAGATTTATCCATTGGGCTACTGGGCCACTGATATGGTGATCAATGTCCAGTCTAGGAATAAGCCAATCAGAATTGGCCAACATCAGTGATCGATATTCAGTTTGGAAGTAAACCAATCCGAATTCGGCTCATCTAAAATAACACCCACTATTTTGTTTATCATGAATACAGACTAATTGACATATCCTCCTCATTGGTGAGATTTCGAATCATACACTGTGGCGTGAAATATACTGATACTTTTCTGCCCACATCGTTGTATGTTCTCGTTTAAGTAGTGCAGGCATGGGAATCAGGTAGTTGTTGGATAATGTTGTAGACTTAGTCAAGCGGTATTCGTGATTACCTCATGATCAGTGAGTGTGTGCTGAGGTCGGCATCTCCGTTTCAATCTCGACGTATTGTTAGACATAACAGGTACAGCAGTTACCTCCTTGTACACTGTGTGATTTGAAATCATTTATTTATACTCATTATATTTCTGGACTTCAGAAAACTAATAATAACAGCACTATCAAGTTATCTCTTTAAGGATTTCATAAACCAAAAATGAGATTGATTCACCTTGATCTAGAAATATCAACGGGGAATCATAAATGTGAATGAATGGCAGTGTGTTTTGTTATTTTTGTCACCAGTCTGATACTAACACAATCTAAAACAAATGAATCGTGGATAATGGCGTATATGACTTTTAGAAGGAGTATAAACCCTATCAAGACATCAAAATGAGGGCATGTTAAAAAAGGTGAATATTCTTACATGAGTCAACATATAGACTGTTCAACAAATGTCAATTAATACTGAGATTAGATAAGAATAGGGCTCACCCACTTACTATTAATGGATGGGATGACAAAAAACAGAACAGATATATATATATATGCATATACGCACTTGCAGAGAGATAAATAACTAACTGATAGGTGGTGTGAAAGTAATCTACGAGCTGTAAGTAAATTAATATCAATATAATTAGGGAAAATAGGAAAATTAGTGCCCATGAAGAAGAATCAACGTCTTCTTCATTCTTTATTCCTTGTGATTACCCTTGTTTCATGACATATATATACATAAGTAGGGATGAATTAAGTTTTCTCCTGTCATCCTAATGAAACACAATGTCACTGCTGTTTAAAACCTACTGGTTGACTTTAGAAAATATCGTCTTACATACAGATTTAAGATTCACGTGTTCATTCGTCTAAAATCACTTTGAGGTGTGTATTTTTAGATATTAATTTTTTTTACCCAGACCGATGTTTTGTTAAATAATTGAAATTAAGTCAGTCTTAACTGACTGTTGCGTGTAAGATAAGTAAGTAGGCGACGATGTCTTTCACCTGTTGAATTAAGAAAGCATACCTTAGAATGCAGAGATTTCAATTGAAACGCATGCACAAGTTACTTCTAATTCAGATAATTTTGTTATCTGGATAAAGTGGAATAGATTACTGAGTTGAAAAACAATCAGTATGCATAAGAGTCAATCGGAATAGACGATAGACTGAAGTTGATGCTTGTCTATAACACTGACAATATTAAAACAGCTGTAAGACAGGGAAAAAGCGACTTCTGTTTACAGATGCCGTACTAAACAGGTAGCCCTGGTAACAAACACTTTAAGATTCTGTGTTATTTCACAGCGTCAACAGGAAACAAACATTTGTTAATGGTGTTCACTCAGTAAAGAAAGATAATAATAATATAACTCTCGGGAAATTCTTTTTGTAGGCTTTTGCATTCAGCATTGTTTTGTTTCACTGGATAGGTAGACACTGGTGTTTACCTTGTAACTGGTCAGGTGTTAACATTTGTTTTTAGAAAGATAAAAAAATCACTATTCAACTTGAAATGAAGCTGTTATCTAAACCTAATCGCTGGTGCCAGGCTGGATGTAGGCAGTCGCCAACGGATGGATATAATGCATTTCCTAAGAAAATCAAGTAGGGAAGTTAGTTACTAGCTTGAATACTGAATAAACACTGTATTTGTAGCTTTTCGTGTTGACTTTATGCACCAGCTGAAATCACAGTAAACTACTCATTGTTAAATGAAAAACCAAGGCATCAAAATAGTGCATATCAAAAATCACTTCACTTTGGAATCTATTCACTGGTTATTATCAGGGTATCAGGGTATGAATAATTCCCATTTCGCGTAATTAACAACATATGAGTCGGCAACTTCAAAGCTGTACAGTTATTTAGAGCGTTTATGTATACAAAGTTAACTGACATCAGAGGGGAAAGGTTATTGTCAGTTAGTATCGAAGCGGATCAAAGTTCACGAGTTATAACTATGTTTGGGAAGAAAAAAAATATTAAGAATAGTCTTACGTAATCAATCATCAGACGGCCGGAAAGAATCACCAACAAGAAACTATGGGAACGAACAAAACAAGAACCAATCGCCCAACAAATATGCAGGACAAAGTGGAAATGGATTGGACACTCGCTGAGGAGGCCGCTGGGTGAAATCACGAGTCAGACCCTGGAGTTGAACCCGAAAGGGAAGCGGCGAGTGAGACGTCCAAGGGTGACATGGAGGAGATCGTGTGAAGAGGAGTTGAAACAGTATGGATTAACATGGATGCAAGTGAAAAGTACAGCAGAAGACAGAAGCAAGTGGAGACGTGTAGTTGAAGCCCTATGTTCCACTAGGAACCCAAGGGAACAATAATAATAATTACGTAATCAAAAGGGCTAACAACTAATTAGTTGAGTAATGAATGATCCTTTGGAATTAGCTGCTAAGACACAAGAGGACAAAAGATTGAAAATGACCTGCAAAAAACACTGAGCTTATTATTCGGTTGTTTAGCAAGACATGTACATAAGCAAACAAAAAGCACACAACAATTAATTAGGGAGTCTGAGATGAGTTCAGCAGTTCTAGTTACCGCACTTCATGTAGTACACAAAGGTAGATAAAAATTGAAAGGACTCATAATAAGCAGGAATGCACGGGAGAAAGAATGAGTACATGGAGAAAAATGAGGACTTAGTAAATCCAGTAGATTACATGGGGTAAATGAATCTGCACCAGTGAGAACGATTTTGAGATATATCAGTAACAGTCTCAAGCCATTAGTTCTTAGCATCTTGAAGATCCTAGCAAGACAGACTACAACGCCCTCCTATGTGACTGAATTAGACCAACAGACAAAGACTTAGTGGAGTGATGTCATGTTTTCACTTGACCAACCTAAACTCTCATCCGATCTAATCCTGTGTCAATTAAGAATGCCTTATGAGGAAGGCAACAGCATGGCATGCTGATCTCGTGTCCCAGCAGTCTTAATTGATGTGCCTTCACAATCTCAACCATTGACTTTCCCTCTTTATCTAATACTCTACGTCTACACTCATATTAGTCACCATACTGTGCCGCTTAACATGGGAGATAGAACACAAATTCTTGTGATCAAAGACAGCTAGCTTCTTGAAGTCTTGCACTTATAACGGTAATGTCTCATAGTTTTATATAAGAGCAGAGTGAACTTCCCGACAGCTCACACGTCTTTTGACTGATAGCCAGATATCATGCCTACGCCAAGGATGACGTGATTTTTTTTTGATTTTTTTTTTTGATTTACAGCTTGATTCCACACCGTATTTTCAGTACAAGTATGGAATTTTCAGCATGGATATCGGTTGCCCAAATTCAGGCATACCATAGATATCGGTGTGCGCCGGCAGGGGATCGAACCCCGGACCATGTGCATGGTCGGCGAGAGTCCTAACCACTGTGCCACCGACGCACAAATTAACTATATATTATGAATGGTGTTCTTTCTGTTTTACATGATTATTAACTTACTGGTGCTTCGGTGGTTCAGCGGTAGAACGCTCGCCAACCACGCAGGTGATCCGGGTTTCCACTCCCGGCCGACACAGCCCTAAACGTCTCTAAGTCGTAGTAAGGCCGCTAAAGAGGGGAGGGGTTGAGTGTGAAGCTAGCAATTACATCCAATAAAAATGAAACCACTGCTACCGGAACTTCAGAGCTCTAGCCTGAAGCCTCATGTTCCAATCAGAATAAAACAAAAAATAAACAGATAATTACTTACTTGGGAAAAGAGTGGCTAAATCAAGCATCGGTTGAATTTCCTTGCTTTCACCCTTCTTCGTTGATTTCAACTGGGCGCATAAGCGTTTTAAGGCATTGTTGGATGATTTACCTAACTGAAAATTAGGGAATGTAGTGAAAGGATGCTTTAAATTAGAATGACTGTATAGATATATGTTATTAATAAAAGAGGCATGCATTTTTTAGCTGACTGAAAAAGCAGAAAAATATCTCAGTACACCATTATGATAGACTGGCAACCGACAAGTTTATCACCGTCAGCGAGTGTACTGACGATTCACGTAGTCTCACGAACAGTATACATGCAAAGAGGAGTGTATTTCCGGGTTAGAGTTGTCGTATACCCAACTTAACACCACCAGGCCATATGGCACTGACCGATATCTTCAACAACTAATAAATACATGGAGGATTTCATCATGAGCTGACATCAGTTAGAGAACCACTGGAAAACCTGGGAGTACTGGACAGTCAGCTGTTTCGTCCTAGTTTGGGACTCTTCATCAGTATGCACCCACCGGGGTTCAAACCCAGGACCTTCTGGTTACAAGGCGAGCTCGTAGGTGCGTACTGATGAAGGGTCCCAAGCTAGGACGAAACAGCTGTCCAGTACTCCCTGTTGGTTTTCCAGTGGTTCTGTAACTGATATCAGCTCATGATGAAATCCTCCATGCAATCAATTAGAAATTCCTACAAAGCCAATACTTGAAAACTAGTGAATACACTGTTATTTACACACACACACACAAACAAATACGTACACAAGAAAGTAAGCAGAAAATTCAGTTTTCATACTGGTAATCGGGGCATTGTGCTGACTGAGTTACGAGGTATGGCTGTCAGTTAGAGCTTCACTTCACCTTTAATCAAAACTTAATTACATCGAAATCAATCTGCCAATATATATATATATATATATATAATTTACCAATCTAGTGGTGATAAGTTTTTGTTAACAATAAAAAGTCAATATCAACATGTCAGCGGAGTAATGATTAAACAAGAAACATTAAGACTACAATTAAAGCGTAGAAAAAAAATGTGTGAAAATTAAAACTAACAGTTGCACAATGTATAAACACTGAATGTTAAGACGAGTGAATGTATGAGTGTATGTGATCGAATTATTGAAATGGATCACTTGAGAACAATTAAGGATGAATTAACCAGCCAAGCTAGTAGGATTGTTAAAATAATAATAATAATAATGGAGTGTTAGGTATTAGGGTTTAACTGGTCTTATGGTAGATTTCATTATGGATTGACATCAGTTATAGAATCACCGGAAACCAAAAAGTACTGGACTATTGGTTCGTCAGAACACGTCCATATTCCAACCAGTGATCGAGCCCACAGTCATCAGGACACTGAGTGGAAGTTTCATAGTCTACGAATTCTAGTTTCTGTCAAATCGAAGTATAGCGCTACACCTTGGTGATGCAGTGGCCTAGTACCTGTTCACTAGTATACCAGTGACTGGTTGACCTTATCAGATAGGATGTGGAGACAGGTACTCGCCGATGACAGAAACTGGAATTCTTAAGTCACTGAGATCCGACTCATTAACAAAACGGCAAAAGTCCTCACCTCGTAACCTGAAGGTGTCAGTTTCGATCCCTGATAGGTGTATAGTTATGTACAACTGAGGATCTTTGAACTAGAACACGAAACAGCTGTCCGGTTTTTTGAACAAAGCAAGAACTACAGTTTTTGCAGAATAAATTGGTACCATCTTTTATTTCGTTGCCTTCTCGTCAGCTGCTTACAGGCCAAAGACATTATTAAACATATCTACAAAAACATGTATCTGCGGGAGCAGTTACATTGGAAGGACAGAAAGAAGGGCATATCTACGATCTTCTGAACATTTACCAAAAAGATTATGTCTAAAGGGAACAAATGCCATCGCCAGGCATCTCTTTGACACGGGTCATCAGGTGGACGTCGAAAAGTCGTTCAAAATTATCAATAGGCAAAAGAGCTCAATTGTCCTCAAGTTTGCTGAAGCCATTTCCATCAAGCGCCTGAAACCTGATTTATGCGTTCAGAAAGAAGCGGTTATCAGTCTTTCTTTGCCCCTGGTAACTGGATATTTTCATCTCTCCTTCATCTGAATGCGTAATGTTGAAAAGTTTCCATTGTGTATGAGTATTATTGTTGTTCGGAATAGTGTTTAATATTGCATATATATATATATTATTAGTGTATGCGTATATTGATTGATTGATTTTTGTTTAAAATGAACTCTGTGCAAGTATGTTAAAATTGTTTTTGTAGATATATTTAATAATGTCTTTGGCCTGTAAGCAGCTGACGAGAAGGCAACGAAATAAAAGATGGTACCATTTTATTCTGCATAAACTGTAGTTCTTGCTTTGTTCAAATTCATTAAGGGGAATAAATGTATGAAATGTCCGGTTTTTGTTGGCCTGCGGTAGTTCTCTGACTGACGTCGATTTGGCGATGGAAATCAATCAAATCCCTACAAACTCACAAGTGAGGAAAAAATATTCCCCACTACAAGCGCTCCTTATGAGCAAAAGTGAAATAACGATGGCTAGTAGTTGGAAAAATCAGTTTCTGAATAATAATAATCGTCATTAATTCACCTAACTAAAAGCCTCAGAATTAAAACAACAAAACAAACACTGAACTGCTTAAAAATATGGTATGTCCCACTGAATATAACAGTAGTAAATCGTCTTGTCAATCATTCAAGGTTCATGGAGAAGTTTTTACTGACCACAAACACCCTTTGTATAAATTCTTATAACAATAGTAATAATCGATGTTTAGTAGTTCACATCACTTGCCAATAGTTAAAACTGAAATTATTATCTTGTGAAATTAAGGGCTTACTAATCGTAATCAGTTTGAATTCAGGAAAAAACAAGTAAATCGAATAGGTGTGAAATAATAAGCACACTACTAAAACGTTTTCTGTAGTGCATTTTTACTTCCCTATGGAAAATAGATCATCCCTTGCTTGCTCTATTTGTGTGTGTATGTGTGTGTGAGGGAAAGAGAGAGAGGAAGGAAGAGAAAGGGATGGTATGTACCTCTCATTGATATAAACTTTGGAAACTGCTCAAATCAGCCAGTAGTGCTTGATGTGAGAGCGTGTGTATGTGGGAGGGGGGGGTTAACGATCTGAAGAGAGCAAAGAATGAATACATATTGATGCATGAACAAGTGTGTATACACATATGTCCTTTAGAGATAAGATTTAAAGGATATTTCTGATAACTACTTAAATGTATTCATTCTGGGATTTTCTTAGTTTCACTTGACGGATGGTCATCATTATTCTGCATAAATAAACAGTAGGTACTTTCCTTGACTGGACACCAGGTAGCAAGTAACTAGTCTCATGCGTTTGTGTCATTTGTTTGCTGCAGACTGAATTCTATCGGTCAAGTTGGCAGTTTGGCCACCATACTAGGTGACTCGACATCTTGGTGCATTATGAATTGTTATTATTAGACGGTTGGAGGCAACCGGCAGGAATTCCTGGACCTAGGTTTGTGCTTGTTGGCATTCGTGATGGCCAGCCTTTTGGTATTGGTAGTCATATTGCAAACTTGACTGACGGAATTCACTCTGTACCAAACAAAGGACATGACGACTCATGAAACTGGTTACTTACTGCCTAATGTTCAATCAAAGTAACCAATACAGTCCTACAGGAGGTCAATCGTGAGTCCGAATGATTCAGTGGTAACATCTATGACTGAAGATGGCACTGGGTAACACGGGTTGCAATCTCAGAGGGGGCAGGAGTTCCTTGAAGACTGCAGATATGCCTTTCTGTCTGGTGAGTGCCAAAAAGCACGAGACTCAAGGTCCAAGGCATCCTGCCAATTGTCCCCAACCATCTAATACCAAGTAGATACTTTCATTAACTTTACTAAAAATGGGAATAATATGCTTTGAAACCTTGACTGTAATGTGAAATAAATCGCATAGTATTGCAACCAGGCTGTTAAATGATACAGTATCAGAATTGAGTCACACAGATGAATATGTGGTGTGCAGTCGGCTGTTGAGAGGAAAGACAATTAACAGCTCACTAATGGAAATGCAACAAACAAATTAGGATAATCTACTTACTATACAGGCAGTGACAAATATTTCATCAACAAAGAGACTGTCTTTCAGTATGAATTATTACACTTTTAGGTCAGATAAATCAACGCAATGAATGCTTTTTTTATGAACCTTGCTTCAATGCATTAATTCCCTTCTGATAACTTGCCAGCATTCAACACAGACAATTTGTCTCAGTTTTTCTCATGGGAATGAGTATCGTCAGGCAACTAAATCAATTTTCATGAAATACAAAGCTAACAGACAGTATGTGTGACGACCGTTTCCTGGAGGATAAACATAGAAGTTGGGCTTCTGAAATACAGAGACCAGATTATAAGAGTAGATGAGGGCTGTTTGAACTGACTAGATGCTGAATCATTTAACGACGGAAAACACGTACTATTTTTATTGTCTACACGCCCAGTGTTTTAGGCAAATAAATTTTTCGCTCATTCTTGTTGACAATAACTGTCGACTTTAGTTTACTCAATAAAAAAGTAAATAAATAAATGGATTTTAAAAGGGGAAGGCAAATATAATCTGCAAATATGTCTCAGTAATTCAGCTGACTGACCATTAAATGCGTGCAAAAGAAGTTAAAAATTTTATCACTACCTAACTTACCTGAAAAAATATGCCCACAACCGCTAGTCCATCTGAATAAGTTAAAGCAGTTTCCATTGTTCCATATTTAGCATTAATAAATACACAGTGTAACTCAGATGGACAGCTAACCCCGTTGATCATATGTTCAGAACCCCAGTTATTACCAGATCCCCAATGGAGGTGAAATTGTGCCAATTTATATTCTGAATTCAATGGACCTCCAGATAGTACTAGAAAGAAAGAACATAACAGGGAACACTGTGTAAGAGATCCGCGTCTGAAGAGGAAGAAAAAGTTTACACAAATAGTCAGTTGAATTTATAATTGAAAATATGATTTCTATTAGTTTGGCAGAATTAAATTACGCCATCATGTCTTACCCATTAAGCAAAGTGCTAAGAGATTAGATAATGGATCTCTTATTCTTTGAAGAAACCTTTCAATTCAGGATTATACAAAACTAGCTGAGCCTCTTACCCCAGCTATGGCAGCAGGCAGTAGGAGTACGGTCTTCTGACTTTGACTACTACTCTCGCAGATTCCTTTAAGTGTTTGTACACGAACCCAGATGCCTGAAAACAGTGCATCCTTTGTTGGCGGTTAAATTACTTAAAAACCAGTCTGAAATATGTTATTGTTGAGCACTGCTCAATATACATACTGTTGTTAAGACGCTGATTCATTTCATTTTCCAGTTATGATAAGCAGAACGTAGAGTCAGCTATCATACTGTATGATCGTTAATACTTGTGCAGTTGGCTTGTCATGGCTTTGACAAATAATTAGTTTCGTTTGAATGTGTTCTTTTTCAAAGTTTAACAGCTTAAGCTGATTCATTCCCATATAAGACTACTGTCTGTCTGATTGAAATAGCAATCTACATATATACACGAAAGTGTAATATTTTAACTTGTAACTTCCGAAGAATGCATACAGGAATGCGGGAAAGAAGGTGTACAAGAGAAAGATTAATGAAGAGCCTCAGTAACTAAATGAAAAGGTTGAGCCAAGTCATCAATTTTCTGTAACTAGTGATTGTTAGCACTCTAAAAATTACATCTATGTGGATCAGATCAACAGTCAAAGACGTAATGATTCGGTGTTGTGTTTTTGTCTGACCTCGCCTAACTATTTTCCAACTTAATCTTAACTCATCCTTAGACTGCTTATCGAAGGAGGCGAGGTGCCGACATGCGCTGTAGCCCTGCAAGGCAATACAGATTCATATCCCCTGCTTACATATGGTATTACATCTAACTTCATTACTACTTATATTGAATTTAATCAAAGATTAATTATAACTGCTAACTCTACTCTGCCCATATCTCCAGCGTTTAATGGCCATACCTTCGCTGTAAACAAAGACTAATGTAACTAGTGCAGGGTACAGACGTCTTTCAGTGGATAACCAGATATCACATGAGTTGGCACCCGAAAGAAAGTTTTTTACACTTTGTCAGTAACTATTCCATTGATAGTGACAGAACTGCCACAATAAGGTTTCCTGTTAAACTTTCAAACAGTATGAAACGGATAATGAAGCCTTCAGTTTCATGAATCAGCTCTTTCTGAATTGGCATCAAAGTATACTGTGACACTGATAAGGCTGGGTTAACTGAATTAGCGTAAAGACTGCAGGTAGATATAAGTAATTAAGTCCGTAGATCAGATAAACTAGATCACAAAAATGGATTTTCAAGATTAATAAGTGAAAATGGCACTCTGAAGATATACATAGCGTGCGCCTTCTAAGAGATGCAAATACAATCTATTAATTTACCACAAACCATTTCCCTACTTACAAACGCAGTTGCCTCTCTGTTATCAAAAGTCTTTGTGATTTATTTAACATATTAGCAAACATTATTCACCCCGCTGCTCAAAAATATTTCCGAAATAGTGTTTTTAACCAAGATAAATGTACACATAAACCAGTGACAGAAACCAATAGAGATGTATTAAAATGTCTTTTTTATAAGGTGTATGTTGTTATCTTGACTGCCAAATGCTTCAGAGAGTTGGATGGAATAAAGAATACATCGTTATAAACCTCATTTTTATCATACAGTGTGTTTCAGTAACGCAATTAACCCGACATTCGAGTCACTGATTCCACACAAGGCTCACAGATGGTCAACATCAAATTGTATTCCCTAACCGCTTTCCAGGCTTGATTTTAGTGAAGAACAAAGTAGACATGATTTTGTCCTTATTTTCCACTATGTATAGAATTCGAGATTTAAAAATGGGGAACCTGAGTAGTTCGCCATTGGTGAGACAAAATATGTGAATTTCTGTGCCTCTAATGGATGAACAATGTTTGGACTACTGTTTTAACATGAATAAAATCAATCTTGACGTTTTGAATCTTTATTTTCTGTGTAAATGTGATACACTGAACAGTGATCATATAAACGAATTATTCATTCTGGCTTATGTAAAAATGTTAACAATAACAAAGCCACAGTACAAATTTGAATTGGCACGAGCTGTGTTTCACTAACTCCTTCTATTTATGTATGTGTCACTACTGATTAGACTACATCCCTTGTATTGTGTGCCAATTATATTGATCCAGCGTAAATTACAGTGAATCTCGGGTATGTATTCCCGAAGTCAGTCGTTTATGCACTTCCAGTGGTTTTTAATTGGTAAAATAAAAGGTATGATGCCCAGAACTTTACACACAAGTACCGAAGACACTGGAGATGCTGCTGTCTATGCTCAAGAATTCCAAGAACTCACTAGTTAGGTTAGCTTGGTCGGGTGTCCAGAAAATGGCATAAAACCGATTTTCAGATTTTACAATACTTGCTGACCAGAGATATTCAGATCACTTTATTTTTTAGAATCTTTGGAAGTAGAGTATTGGACAAGGGAGCTTCTCTGTAGATTTACAGAGTTGTGACAACCATAAAGACGAATCCTTTTTACTGCTGAATACCTGATGTCAGCTGTTTTAATTGATCTGATGTGAACTGAGACGAATAGCGTTACTATTAATCACAACAAAAAATCCCACCTGACGATTACTATATTGCTAAATTTACAATGAAAAACTTGAAAGCACACTTATTCTTCCAAGCAATATCTTTTAATGAAAACTGCAAACAGCAAAAATTCAAGATTTCTTTAATTATCTAGTTGTTTCTTAATTATAGACAGTGTTGCACTCAGCTAACTGATACTGACATTATTGTCAATAGGCCTTCAATTCTTGCAAGCATTTGACTGGAGTTATCTTGTCTGATACTGAACACCCCTTTTATTCTTAACTTCCTCCTTGTATGTCTTTGGGTAAAACCAGAAGAAACTTCGAAAGAATTTACTCTCACATAACTAAATATATAAATTCTACCATATCATATTTAGTACTGGTTTTGTGGGAAGAGTCGGATGTCAAAAAAAACTTAAAAACGTTTTACATCAGTAACTAAACTGCAAAGTATAAGCAAAGATTATATATATCATAGATATTTAAAAGACTACCTGACGGTCATCCAAGTTGTCGATGAAAATAAGTCATAAAGTTGATTTTATTTAATAACTGCAATCCCTTATTAGATTTAACGGAACATTTTTATTTTATTTGCTGCCGTTATATGATTCAAAGTAGGAATTTCACATTCAGGAAAAATTAAATCTAAAATGCAGTTACAGATATGTAATTCATAATTCTCCTATTCAATAAGTTCTGTTGCTAGCTGTTCTTAGTCACTGGATTATACGTTTAAGAGGGAAATGTTTAATGTGATAAACAACCACTTTGATTTGTCCTTTTATAGGTTTCGCTGTCTCTCTTGGTTATAAAAGGAAATAAATGAAACCACCTAATTTTTCAAAATTATTAAATAGAGAGGTAAAATAAACAGCATCTTCAGAATATATGAAACCTAAACATTTTTGGGCGTACTGAAGACAGCATATCATTTAACTGAATCATGCACTGGGTGATTACATGGTGAGAAAAATACATTAATCAAATTGAGTGGACTTTGCAGAGGACACAGAGAACTTACAAAATCAAACAATTACTTGAAAAACAGAAAACGAATTTCGAGAATGCAAAAGGCTATATCATCTCATGCATCCCATCACAAGAAGAAAAAAGAATAAAGAAACACATAAATACATAAGAATATACCAGCATTTCCTTTGACTTCCACAGAGAAGTTATGGTCTTTGACATGCAGTATTTGCTTTTGTAAGCCAGACAAATCAACGTTTATCGGGGACAAGGAGTCATCCATCCTCATTGTCATTGTATTAAGATTAATTGGTGATTGTTTCGTACCACCAGCATTGGGGAAGCGTAAAACCCAGGTATGAGGACCTTAACTTTGTATGTAAAACATAAATATCATACCATATTTTTCTCCATAATCATAGGACATTTTTATTCTGTATTAATCTAATATCGTTATGACAGCGGAAATCCATACTAAAAATCATCTTAATAAATACATCTAAAATGACCTTGAAGTGTAAGATAATGTGATAAAAGAAATAACCTTAGAGATAAGAAAATACTTGTTTTAGGCATTTCATGTTCCGAGTTCACCTGTATTTGAAATTTTTTCGCCTTATCAACTTAACTTTTCCCACTTTTGTTGCATGTTTTAAACGATATTCCTAAAAGTTGAAAGGCTTTTTAAATCATTAAAATCTCCTAAAATCTTCAATGCTAATTCCTCTAAATATGTCAAACGCACAGATCACATTACAAGCAATCCGAAACTAGAAACGCATTTTCTAGAGGGGTGTAGTTGGACAGGCAACAGCCTGTTTTCATCTAGATGAATAAAATCCGACCTAATTTAGGGTAAATAATATCTAAAAAGGATAACAAGCGCGATACTTAAATAATGACTTTGTAATCAGTAAGTGAGAATGAGTTTTCTGCACCCTAAGATTGAACTGGTTACTTTTTGAGGGTGAAAAAATCGTCTTAACTACATTCTATTCTTAACATAACCGGCAAGCAAGGAACCCTAAAGATAGATCGTCGACGTAAAATGTGGGACTGGAAAGCGCAGCTGCAGGGTCATTTACTTACATAATATGTGAATTCCCACATTATGTCCATCCATCATATAAAATGCACACCACCAGTATAAACCTACGTCAACAGTTGATCGTTACAGGAATGAATATGTACCGACAAATTATTCAGAATGCTTCCACGTCATGATAGACAAAACACTGTTTTCATATATGAAAGAAAATGGCAAAAGTGATTTAGTAATCCAGTCAAGAGCCACAGTTTATTAAATTTTAAATTGAAGTGTATTTTGATCCTATTTAAAGTCTTATGTTATGGGCAAAAATTATGTTTTTCACCTCACCTACTTATTAGCCATTTTGATTCTATGCCAGCAGGTCTACCATCCACGCTGACAGTGAAGCCCCACCTACTTCTCCTAATTGTTTTCTTCACAAGTGACATTTATGCTTTCGGAAATAAGACTCTGAACGGCTTATCCGGTGTTCTGTTTGTTATTATCATGGCACCGCATTTAAAATCCCGTCTTTCGCCCAAACCACGTGAACAACAGATATCTTATCTCAATTGGCTTTAACCGAAGCTACACTGCAGCGCAAACATGTACAAAGTAATTTGAGCCACCTGTAAATGAACTGTAGATCAATTACATTTATCTACTACCCCGATCTCACATTACTCGTCAGAAGGTAAAAATTTTCCTTGAGATCTGAAGATTTGCTAAGATTTATTAAATTTCAAGGCAGATTCCGTTTTCCAAAGGAACTGACCAAGGAGCACCAGGCAGATGTTGGAAACAAGGCTTTAAATTTTGGAAGGTGCACACTGAGGACTTTCCAGGAATTAGAGATAGAGCCTTTCGGTTACGTGTCTAGATCACTGATCGACCACTAGATTAGAATCCACTGAGTAAGCAGTTCTAACCTGTTCCTGTACGTCAACAAATGTCATCGGTAACGAGATTTATCTGAAGGTGGCCAACATCCTTGCGAAATCAGGAATCTGAACTCCGGTTTTCCACTAATTAATGGCTAAATGACTGAATTTTGGGAGTCCGTTGAAAATGCTAGGTCAGTGTGGCGCATGAATGACAGCCCGACTAAACTAGTGGCCTGAAATTTTTATACTGGAACTTGAAGGAGGTCGTAAATGTATACTGCTGATGAGCCCAAAGCCAGGACACAGTGGCTCTCCAGCGACGTCGTTTAGTTAGAACATCCGTAATAAAATATAATCGATAGGAATTCTCCGATGGAAACTAGTGCAACACATGCTGCAGATTCGTAGATAATTATTTTTACATTACAAGTTTCCAATGGTAGTTAATATCTAGCATGCTTTCTGGAATAAGTGTGGACCTAGGTGTTTATACTGCTGCTGTCGCATTTGTTCTAAACAGCTTGGACAGTGAGGAAATTTGATGGAGTCACCTTAAGGCTTGATAAATTTTGCAATTAGCGGGACATGTAGGCCACCGACGTATACATAAGTAAAATATTTTATAGCAAGATTATTCTTTAAAATGCTTGGTGTATGAGTTCAGTAGTGTTCCAGGTATTCGTCTGAGAAAAATCACTATGAACCCACCAAGGTGACGATGAGTATGAATAGAACAGCACATATCTGTTTACAGACCATGAACGGTAGGAGCTTAATGAAAGGCGAAATCAGTATTTTTCTCCCTTTATGTTTGTGATATGTATATCAGGGTGGCCGAAGCGTAATTATTAGCATAACTCAAGTGTCACGATTCGCATAGGTCCATATGAAGAAATGAAATTGAAAATGATTTTCGCCGTCATTATTAAACATCGGGCTAACAAATTCTAGAAGGCCTATTGCTTAAACGGCTTGGGGGATTTTTATCTCGTTTTCATCCTCCGGCCTAACCAAAAATACAAATATATTTTAATTTGGCGTGCTTATGTTACGGCCAGACAACCGACTCCTTGGCTTGGCCTTTAATATTTTCCCTCAACAAAAAGATAATAAGGGTTATTCAGATCTAAATTACACATAAAAAAGTGCTTATGCTCCTACCATCTACAAGTCTGCCCAGCTTCTTGTCAAGATGCTACCCATTGGGCCCTACAGAAATTTGTGAGACATCTTACACGCCAGTTTGTTCTACGGGTTCCAATTTTCCAGACCTTTGAATTTACTCCTCACTTAAAAATATCACTTACCTACCTCACAGCAATCTTTTTATTTACACACTATTATACTCTAGTCTATCTTAACTACCTAGGCCATTATTAAAGCTAAAACTTGCTCTTTGTTCATATTTGTTGCTTGCTTTAAGTCTGGTTGCTTTGATTAAAAACACAACACCAATGTTTGAACGAAGCTATATTTTCATCGGAAACGTGATAGTTTCCATGCTTAGACCAATATGGGTGGCAATAAACATTGCAAATGTAAACTATCATTTCAAGTACTATATAGCTTCTTCTCCTTGTATTTATCTTGTAAATATACTTTCAATAATGTATTATTCATAATTGCTTTTTTATACCATTTTGCAGCTGAGCGGAATTTTCTTCTCTTCCTAAAATAGCGTTCAATCGCGTGGCGGTATAGCACTCACCCAGAAATATGCTGTTCACTGGTTGACCATAACGATCAGCAGGAAACTGAACGAAGTTTGGGTTGTTGGTCAACTTTGATGGTGACCTTAGTAAATGGTTTACAATTTGACATTTATAAGAACCTGTTCTGATTGCTTGTGCAATAATAGAACAATTCAAACTTTTGAAAAGTATTAATTTACGATACTTCAGGATTGTAATTTATAATATAACTGATCGTGCCTGTAAAACTGGCATGCATTTCTTGTGAGCTTACCGGTTTATACGAAATATAAATCATTATTATTAAGTCGGAATACTGTACTTTCTGTTTTTCATGGATTTGTTTGGATGAACGATTTAATGAAACATCTCCGGAAAACGTAGTCATAGTATCATGCCAACAAATTTTCGCGTATTTTATTATGCTATCTATAATGCCATCTATTTCCAAGGGGGTCAGTGGCAGTGTCCGAACAGTGAGGTAAATCTGAATGATTACGGTTAATTTGTTAGGCAGGTAAACAACTGGACTTTTTCGTTTGTTCGTCGCTTTTCAGCTCTCTGAGCTAAGATCATGTGTAGTATCTGCTCTTTGCAATGTAATTTCTGCAACGGCATCCAAACTGAGACTAATGAAATTACCTGTGTTTTTCCCTTAAGGCAGGGGCTTGCTCAACCCGCGAGTTGGCCTCGTATTGCATTACCTCGAGGACTGGTTCATTATTTTAGCTGATCGTGCCCGCAAAACTGGCACGCATCTCTTGTAAATTTACCCGTTCATACGATATATAAATTATTATTATTTTCAGAAGGGAAATAGAGGTGTAGACTCCACACAACCCAAAATCCGGCAGTCCAAAAATTGTACAATGCTTGAAGACAATAAATACGTATATCTCAGTTATTCATAGCCTGTAATATGTCATATTTCCTTCATGAATTGATCGTGAATAGCATCTTTTACTGACTTTAAACAAATGCCAATGCTTGAATTATCATACTGGTAGTATTGCAGGGGATCAAAGAAGTTCATCAGATCAATCGAACATTCAACCATTAATTTGTTCACTTGTGAGGTCCGAAACATAAGCTGGATTTCAGAGGGACAAGAACTTAGCAGCACCGCCGTGGATAAATGGCGTTTCTCTATAATCTATTAATAAGGTCACTAATAAAGACACTTTGGGCAGTGTGTTATATCCCCTCTTCACCATTCAGGAAGGTTTTAGGAGCAGCCTGGTCACCAAGTTAGAAGGGCAGGCTAAAGAGGCACCAGGTAGTGTTGCTAGAGCTCAGGTCGAACAAGACAAGCGGCCAAACATCAATTGTGAGCGTTATTCCTGGTTCAAACCAACTGGAAGCGACCTCAAAGTCGTTCGAGCAGACTGGCTAAATAGTTTGCTAGAGTATTTGCACCAGGGAGTGTACATAAGTTTATGGTGATTGGAAAACTCCAACAATTTGTACCACTGAATGAAACCTATCAGGGTAATTGCAATCATTTCTAGGTCAAATAAAAGTATTGGCTGAATTCATCCCACAAGTGTTTATGGGATCACACTAATTTCTACGTTAGGGTCGGTGAAAGCTGTGCACCTGCGATTTCATCAGTCACATGAAAGTGACGACAGTGTTCTTCATGTTGGTCAGAAGTTAGAATTCATGGGCTATTGGATCGGGTCCCAGTGGCTTAGTGGTATACGAGCTCGCCTTGTAACCAGAAGGTCCTGGGTTCGAACCCCGGTGGGTGCGTACCGATGAAGAGTCCCAAACAAGGACGAAACAGCTGTCCAGTACTCCTATGTTTTCCAATGGTTCTCTAAACAATATCAGCTCATGATGAAATCCTGTAACCAGTCAACCAAATCCCTACAAACCAATACTTGAATAACAACATTTTTCACTGACCGCTATCCCATTCCCCTTCTGAGGGATCAGTTTGCTGAGATGCATGAGGCAAAAGACCACCGAGATCTCTGAACTCAATCACGTGATTATATCAGCATGGACTCTTGCTGCAGATGTGTGGATACATCGCGCTTGACCTCCTGGTATTATGTGCTTGTTGTGGCCAGTCATACAAGCTAATATTATCATCTATGAAACCTGAGATTCTTGGATACTATGGAACAAATATAACTGACAGAACAATCTCAGACGGATAATTTGGTCTCAGGTTTTCCTCATGATGGCCTCCTTTAGTTGGGATACTCGGCACCACGTAACTGACAGACTGCTCACCAGTTAGGGGAGGAAGCTACACTTGTCGCTTGCTTCTGCTTCGTCAAAGCTCATTCAGCCATTTGCAAAAGTGGTAGCTGTGGCTGTGAGGCCACATCAGAAGTTTAGTTTTCTGCCTTTTAAAGTTCCAATGAGTTTTTGGTTAGTTGCCATACCCGTGACCAAATTTTCCTTGTTTTTCGGGACTGCATACATAACCAGGTAGTTTCCGATGGCGCCGACACAGGAGCTAAGCTAGAGACCTTCAGATTGAAGCGCTGGTCCACTGACCATTAAATCTCTTCAGGAGAGTGAATAACAGACTTAAAGTCCATGTTTAGCTCGTGTGATACCTTTCAACGCTTGTTTGCATAATCCAAACATGAAAGAAGAATCGTTATTTATTCATTGCACTTAATAATACACGGCTAAAATTGGATGAGTCTCGCTGACCTGATACTCTCGGATACATTTCTGAATGAGTGAGGCCAAAGAGCATCAAATTAGCCTGTTCTCATATATTGGCTTTAGAAGTCACTGTGGGACATTGGCGTAAAATGTGACACTTAAAACATAGTTAATTTCTATTGTATTACTGACTTTACATACACAAAAATTCCCACACGACATCATGGCACAACGCCGGCAATGCCTTTTGTTTTCCAGGAATAGGAAAAAACAAACTTGAACTATGTTCAGGTAGACCACTAGCTTTTCCAAATAACCACTAAACCTAGGATCTGACTGGATTTTGCTTTCCATAGATTCACCTGAAAAGAGTCAACACCACCTCTATCACTGAGTAACAGGATAAATTTGAATATAATATATTGTTACAAGTCTCCAGTCTAATTCATTTATTCTAGTTTTCTTCATAAGAAATACAGAGGGAATAATAAAAAAGGAAATAAGTACTCTCTGAAATTTGGATTAAGATAATGGTATTTGTTTCTTGTTACTTTCACCTTGACTGACGCTGACATTACCATGTCAAATAAAAGTACGATTATAAAATTCAAGGTCATTACATGAATATCGATGCAATTTGTAAAATTAGCTCCAAAGGATATGCATCCACCGTAAAGTCCTCTGAAAATCAAACGTTATATAGTAATATAGATGGTGTAACATGCAGGTAGTTCACTGCTGTTTAAGAAAATTAGTTTCTGATAAACATATCATAATGGTGTTTCATAGTAAATAACATGAAATAAACTGTTAAATTTATGAGACTGTATTTCACCAATCATAATTTCAGGTTTCGTGAGATAATACCTAGTGAGACAAAGAATATACAGATATTTGAGAAACACATAAAATCTCTAGTGAAAGCATTTCTGAGTGGTTATAATGCTTGCATACTGTGTTATGGTGAGGTCAATTCAGGAATTAACACATTAATTAACGGGCCGAATTCCTATCAGGAAGGAATACTGAAGTTAATAATGCTAGAAATATTTCGGAATGTATTTCATGGTATTACTCTGTTTATTAATTCTGTTCATTCAGAAGATGAACTCAATCTGAATCTACATAAAGAAGCTTTATCGGTTCAGTCACTGCTGATTGGAAGTGACGGGTTCACTGATTTGATTCGGAGGTCAGAATCTTCAAGTTCTCTGCTTAAAACTACTTTTACAGTTAATAATGGATATCAAGTCGAAGTAATTTTTAAAAAATGTTTCAACAACTAACTTGATCAGGGTCTTCAGGAGGCTCATATCGATTCATTTAACACAGCAGTAAATATATGCACACAAGCGGCTCAAAACTACTTCGGCAGGATATGTAAAACTGATCAGGAATTTGATGATATCCCAGCTAGCTTCATTTTTCGCATCAAACTAAACGTAATTTCCGGTTACTTACGTTTTTAAGTTGAAAGGGAGAAAAACTTGATGACGGCATCACATTCCGAAGCAAATTATCTCTGGTTTGCATCACTGGTTTCGAATGGCTTTCCAGGAGTATGAAGAATGGGGCAGATTTTGAGAGCGCCGAATTACTTGCATTATACAACCTCACATTTCAGTTAGCTTCCGGAAAGCCCGGTAACCGGAAGCTTCCGAATTACAGGTAAATATTCTTATGGATTTGTCTTATCAGATTAATTCATTTCGCCCAAAAAATGCACCTATAATTAACCCACATGTCTAACCATCTAAGGTACTATATCCAACACGAGCTGAAGCACGGGAGTCTGTTTTTATATTGATCACTGCGTATGAAGATACTCAAAGGATGCATAATCTCTGAAAAGATGGCAACGTTTTCCAGGGAATCAATTAAATCAAGATGCAGTTATCCTTCCGTATACATTATATCAAAGTTACAGCTATTGTGATACTATTTGTTTTCAACTCACTGTCAGTGTTATGCATAATGATTCATAATTTGTTGTATAAAGGTTTCAGTGACTACTTAAGTTGTAGTAAATGAATGATCTTAATGCTGGCAGAGTAAGATGATTTAACTGAGGCTAGACCTCATTCAACCATGGGGACCGCAGGACGTTTTAATCTGAAATGGAGACAAATAGAGTTGATAATAAGGTTTGCAATATATATTCATTTTTATATTTTGACATTTCTGCTGATTAATATGTTGATAAATGTTACTAAAGGTGTCTCTAAATTCTTCTTCTTTATACATAAGATGTTTCACTCAGTGCAGGTACATAAAATAGTCGTTTTATTTAATTGAGTAGTTTCCTAACACCATGAATTTCTCATTTATAAAGGTGTGGTTTCAGGTTTTTGCGTGAAACAATCCAAAGTGTCCATCACTATGCTAAACTGAGAAGTTATGTGTGAAGTGAATATCAATAAAATCTCAAAGTATTTTCACAAGACTTGCGGATAGTTTTCCAATCTATGCAGTCAGTGAGGCTGGGGAGGCATAAAGCTGTCCGTGAAGACAGAATTATACAGTATAGTGGTCTACTCTGTCTTAATGAAATATTGAATGAGGAGGCAAAAGAAGTGTCCTTTTTAAACCGTAAATGTTATTCAAATGCAGCGCAAGTAATCCTGAGGTTGAGAACAGCTTCTTCACTTAATTTTAGAACATCTGCTAAATAAGGCAGCTAGAATAACTGTCAAGCAAGACAGGATTCAACACCGGCCTATAATAAGCAATTCTGTGTGTAGCACGTTTAGGATCAGAAGGACGTACTAGCATTAAAATAAAAACCTAGCGCCAATTCAGGAAGGCTATGACTATTAAGATGAATCATTTTAAAAGAGATAGACGAGTTTGAAGTCTTTTGCACGTCAAGAACCAGTGGTTCATAATTTTCGGAGTTATAACTCAATACATTACATAGCGACGTAGAAGTGTTTTTCAATCTTTACTATCACCAAAATTTTAATAAATTTCGCTAGACTTTACTTAAGTATGATATAGAATAGCACACTGTTTTAAAGCAGCACAACCTTGCCTAACCTGCCTCAGCATAAGATTTCTGTTCATCTGTTTGTTCGTCTCGTCGGGCTCACCAATTTTGTTGCTGCTGAATTTTGACTGAACTAGAGTATACACATATCCTAATACTTCCTCGCATTTATTTATATTTGTGCCCTAACGTTGCGATTACTCGACATCCGCAACGTAATTCAAAAGGCACTTGCGAAGGAATACGATAGTGTATTATAGCAGCAATCAACAATTCAAAAATCGAGCGAGTACAAAAAGTATCAATTGTTAACATGCATGATTTAGAGTAATAAACAAATGAAAGTACAATTACACAATGAAAGTATAGTACGATTATGAGTAATAAAACGGGTCACTACAGTCTAAACTGTTGCGTTGTTATCACCTAAGTAAACTCACTGAGCTACTTTGGGCTATTCTTTGAAATTATGACGATTACAGCGTACTTCTTCCTTAATACTATAAGATTTGGTTCCATATGATTTGTAAATTTGAAAGCCAGATCAGCTCTAATTCTGTTAAGAATATATGGAAGAATTTTTAACCTTTTTACTTTGTACAGTAGTGTTTGTGGAAGAGCTGAGCTCTGTCCTTGTCCTTTCCAGTTACTGCACATATTATTAAGTGTCTTAGGCATTCTTGCCAATAACTATGGAAGTATAGAAAAACAAAAGATGAGTAGAAGGAAGTTCTTAAGATACTTCTTTCTCTTTAAAGGAATTTTTAGTTCAAGGATTCACACTCTAATTTGACTGTTTAGTTGTTTGGCCCAAATTAATGTCAGTAAGCGGTGTTTAAACAACTCTTTGGTGATAACGATATTTTTATGGCAAGGAATGCGCTAAAAGATGGCACACTATTGATGTAAGTAGTGGTTATAAACTTTACCTCAAATCCTACTTAGTTATTGTGCATAACCTCTTCCATCGTTTAAAATCTTGCAAAATATGGTCTTTTGTGGGAAGATAACTTGGTGGCTTGTATTTTATTCACTCCTTGATAGCAGGCTGGAAAGAATGAGCTTGATTTCATACCGGGTGCATAAATACCCTTTATCAAAAGTAAACTAAGACAAATTCACCATTTGAATCTAACACCTACTTCTTAAGTCTTCAAAATGTTAGACAACACTGACAAACAGGATAAAAACAGTAGAACCCTGTTCAGCAGTTATCTGTTCACACTGGAAATTGTAGTCGTTTCAGTTGTCACCCTACGCAGTTGACTTTGTCAATTTTAACTGGCATAAAGTCAAGGAATAATCTGTAAATAAATGATATGTTACTTATAAAATTTTGTATAACAGCTGGTAAACGAAACAGATGGCCAATCTGAACGAAGAATATTCTTCTCAGGTTCATACAATTATAAAATATGATATTTGTTGTCATCACTGTAATGGCCAATTATGCGGTGGATACATGTTTATATTAGAATAACAGATTAGTACTTACAGGGTGACAAAATAAGCAGTATTTGTATGACAAACGTGCTAGGCTGAATTCAATTACAAAATATTGTGAGATGGGAGACAATGGTGGTGATCAGTCACAATAGATTAGCAGAATCTGGGGTAGGAAAAACTGACAAGTCAGTTCAAGGCTATAGTAGGTGTCAGGTGAGTAGCTAGTACAAAGTAGTATGCATTGAAGAGGGGATAATAACACTGTACCGAATAGCTCCCTTATCAAGAAATAACCAATAGATGAATTGGAACAGCTGGAGACATATATTGAGAAAAGAGATAATATCACTAATAATAAGTCCGATTAGTATAAATGGAGAATTCAATAGTATTCGAAGAATGCTAGGATGAAGGGTATAAATTGTAACGAAGATTAATAATAATTGTATTAAAAAGCAAAGCGAAAGAAAAAGAAAGAGATAAAAAGAAGGGGACCTGAAAAGATATTACTGAAAGGAATATCCTTCGTTCAGACTGACTTTTAATTCCCGACATGGAAGTATTTCACACTACTGAGACAGAGAGTATTCGTTATTTCCTAAACTATAGAAATAATGAGTAGGTCGATATTTCTTAAAGGATAAATATTCATTCATTTTTATCATAAAGTCTGTTTAATTTGGTAAACTCCACAAGATGCAGGAAATATCAAGTTATCTGAAATGTTCAACACTTTTTGGTATTAAGCGCTTCACAGTTGACGAAATTGTTATATGATGAAATTGGCGGCAATTGCTACACCAGAATAATCCTTTGTTTGTCATCCACTCCTGATCCTGAGACGTATACACTTCTACTCCGACTAACTTCACAATTTACACATATTACAAACGCTCCAGTTATGAATGATGATTGTGCCTTGTTGTTGGCGGCGAGAGCAAGAGAAGCCCAGTATCTTCTGGAACAAGTTATTCATGAACAAGATGATAAAACAAATGTAAACTCAATGTACAACGGGAGCAAAATACGAAATACTGACGCTCCTTTCGTAAGTTTAAGGCTTTTACTTTGTTTCATCACTGATAATCAGTTTATAGTCGAAGTAATTACTGCATAGTAATCGTAAGACATTCCTCACTCCATGTAATGCTTAAAATTAAAAAAACAACGTGTCTCTGCATATGTACTGATAACTTCATGTCACTCATATTTCTCATTTGATATTTGCTTTGTTTATATGGATAGTGTTTGTGAGTGTGAAATTAATTCTGATGTTAAGTAAAACGAACAGCTAAATAAAGCGACCGACTACATGCTTACTAATGACTCTGATAACTTTAGACCTAAAAATATCTGTCCACTGATAACTGTCCAAATTAATGGATACTTGAAAATTACAACAATGTAGTCAGTCAACCAAGTGCGAAATTCTAATAAGAAAGTAATGTGTTAATTGTAAACTAAAGAACAAACTAAATAAAGTAACTAGATTGGCCTTACAAAATTATCAGTGACCAATCAGGGATGAAAATATCACAATGCAAGTAGTGTATTCTTACAAATTCCTGTGAGCCTGACCTTTTTTTGGTTATAACAGGAAGTTGGCAAGATTTGTATTCACTTCAGTGATTTTCGTGCCAACTAGCACGAAACCTAGATCCAAGGCTTCCTGCCGATTGCCTCCAACCATCTAATATCATCAAAAAGAACGTTTCGTGCTTGCACTTAACTGATAATTTCAAGCAATAGCAGTTCTTAGCCTTCATCACTTACCTCACAAAGCGGACGTAGCTTGGAATACATACAGTTAGAGATAACTGTGTTTAATCTAAGGCTTGAGTTCAATGGAATATAGTGAAGGTGGTATAGTCTTTAGGTCGTGTTCTAAAATTAATGTGTAGAAGAGTAGGCTGAAGGCGTTTATTTTGTTTATTATTATTATTGTTTTATTTCATTCCCTTGAGTTCCCTGTGAAACATAGCGCTTCAAACGGGAGCTTTGAAGTTTCAGTAGCAATGGTTTCCTATGGGATGGGTCACTAGCCGGGCTTATTACTGGCTCAGCGGGGTGAAGGAGTGCGTCGGCAGGTGATCTGATCAGACCTCTTGCTTGGTTGGACAGTGTCCTACTACTTAATCACCGGCGCTGGCTCAAGGCGCTCAATTCCTAATTCTCTTAGATGGTGTTATCAATCATACACACTTGAAGACTCCACACAACTTATAAGGGCAGATAGAGTGCAAAAGGATAAATTTGAACAGGTCTCATAATAGAATAACTTCACATGTTACAATACACAATAATATATTGCTCGCCACAATGAACTAAATGACATCATGTTAACCATCAGACGGTGTATAAGCGTCCGTACTAGGAGCCAATATGTCAACGCAGACTGAGTATTTCAATCCAATATGAACTAGTTAACGGGAAATTCGAATTAATTTAAGTAATAGTAATTTATGACTGAGTGTTTTATCAACTAAAATGGTTCTATTATGGAATTATACTTTACCACTCTGCCCAAATTCTATTTTTGTATCAACAAGAATTGGCTTTTATTATGGGGATGTAAGTTTTCAAGAAGTATCGGAAAGTAACATTTCTTGCAAGCGAGGCTGACTCAGGCAGTTTTCGGTAGTTATACTAATATTTATCTCACAAGCTGTGATTAGAATGGAAGTTAAAACACAAGCTAGAAAATTGATTGTGAATTAAGTGGAGAAATTCATCGAATTCCAAGACATTTTTCAATTTTGATTTGAGCCTACTTAATATTTTATAAGTAGGTAGTTAGTATTTGCCAAATATTTTCAATAGACTGTGTCAAATTATTAATACTATCAATTTCTAGCTCAGATTAAAAGAACATGTTCAAGAATTATCTGAAAGCCTTGAGAAAACCCACTTGGAATTGGCACATGCCACTGATGAGCGTGTAAAATTATCGAAAGCATGGCTTGTGAGTGAAGAGGATAGAATGCAGGCGAATGAAAAATTAGCACAGACCGAGTTGCAACTACATGAGGTTCGTTTGAAAGTAAGTACAAGGACTGTTTATAGAGTACAGTGTTTTACGAAGCCAGTAAGTCGGTAAATATCATTTTCGTGTGGATGGAACTTTGAAAGCTTCTAGTCAACATAATCAAAACCTTTGCATATACCATCCTCACAAAACAGGATGGATCTAACTGCATTACCTTGCGTTATCAGTGATTATTACTATTATATTCATAACTGACGCATCACAGTACAGTTTGATACTCCTAAGACTTCTGTTAGATACTGGCATTATTGGTACCATTTGTTCACAAGAGATCCTATTGAGGGATTTAACATGATCGAATGATCAGCAATCAAATATTTACCATGACTAGGGATATATGTCAATAAGCAGGCAGTTAAGACTGAATCTGTGGTCATTGGATTGCTGCGTTCTCAGATCAAAGATCGCCAGTGTGAGTCCCGTTGAAATCACCGGAATGTGTCATGAACAAATCAGGGGACTACAAATCACTCTTGTTGACATTTATAATTATTACAGACTGCACTTGTACGTAACAGAGGGCTTATCACCAAACTGCAATTTAAAAATGAGGTCAGATTACACTCAAAAAGAAGAGATTTCCTTCTTCTTGATAGACTAAATTTTAAGTTGGTTAAGTTCCCCAGATAGTGGAATTATAAAGACACCAACACTACTGATATGGTTATATATATCCAGGTAGCTAGTGATGGATAAAATACAAGGCATTGTTTCAGTTGTTTCTACTGATAACCATTTGTTTAATTACTCGCATAATGAAAATATGAATTTAATTAACCAGCTAAACGACCATGGTTATAATGTAACATTTTTTTCGCACAGTCATGAATTATTAACCAAGTTTTGTGTAATATTATCTCGCCTAAGATTTTTTTTCAGTCTGTGGATTGAATCTAGTTTTCAGACGATTTGACGAAATCACCGTTTGCTTTCTCTCTTGCATTTTCACAATGCACAGATTGATTTCATATTTACACGCAGATATACGCAAACAAATAGAAAAACAAGTGAAATACACAAACCAGGAGATCGTATAAGTGCGACTTAAATTAAAGACATGTTCAGTGTTTCTGCAGTTGAAAAAAAAGCAGGCAGAGAAAAGAGACATGATTAATTGCATCATCAAAAACCAATTTCCACGGACACCTGAAGAACATGAACGATGAGACTGAATCTGAATTTGCTTCATTTTGTTGCTGCAATAAAAACTGGAAGTGCAACAAAGTGCCGATTTTTATGACCATCAATGCTATAAAATATCAGTGAGAGAACAACAATTATCGATTCTTGGATAAGTAAAATTTCCAACAGTTATCTGTTCTTCCCTAACAGAAAACAGAGGGAAGGAAATGCATCTTAGCATTTATTGCATTACAGATGGGAGGTGTATATCAGACATATCGTTAAGGTATCCTTAAATGCAATGGATTATCGCATACCATTCACAATCCTCCTAAGTGGAACATATTTATGGCCTTCTGTTAAAAGACCCAAGAAGCTTAGCCTTATAGCACACAAATAATCTTTGACTTTGTGCACAACAGTAGCTGTCGAATGAATTATTTGTGAAGACTGATGGAGTGTACTGTTAGCACCCTAAAGTTTGGAATAATCAAAAGTCACTTTGAATGAAGAATATCCCCCCCTTCCTCAGTAAATTCTCTTTAGGTTCGTTTGGTTTTAAAATAGAATCTTTGTTATCATTAGAATAATAGCCAGCTACGTGGAGGATACATATTTTTAACGTGGGATAGGTTGAGTATATAAGCAATCGCCAAGAGAAATTCCCCTCTCTATAGAATAGGACAGAGGCGGTCAGTTACAAATTGAATTTTCTCACGTAGTGAGTGTTGCACACGGTTTTATATGATTTTGTTCTAAGGGTTTAAGGAAATACTACAATAATTTCAAATGTTACTTCTGGGTGTTTTAAAATTGTTCTTCTGACTTGCGCTGTTGGTTATACTATGCGCGAAAACCACTTGAGATTAATCTGTTCCTAAATACGTGATCATATTACACCAGGTGAGGATAAAAATGCTTTCAGTTAGTGGGTTGACGAGATAAATAGTAACTCTATAATTAAAAAATGGTGAATTGAATGCGAGGAGAAAATAGTGTGAAATTGATGAAGATGATGATGATTAGTCATAATCGACTGATAATTTACTTCATAAATATGTGTCTGGTCACTAGTTGACATAAGCTGGAAAAACTTGGAGTGTTGGGCAGCTGTTTTGTTCTAGTTTCAGGCTCTTCACCCTTAGGCACCCTCTGTGGCTCGAGCCCACCACCTTCCGTTAAAAAATGGCCAGCTGGCAGACCATCCAACTACTGGAACCGGATCCAATAGCCCATGAATTCCAAATTCTGTATGTTTAGCACAGTGTCACAGGCGAGTAACTAATCTCTCTCACCTGACTTGAAGCATGCCATTGGTTACGACCTCTCACTTCAACTCCAGGTAACTTCGTGTTGTTGTAAAAGGTGTTTATTAAGTGTTTGATTCATTCTGAAGGAAAGTATCATACATTTCGGTCAAGTCTTTCATGGTTATTTAACTGATAAAAGCTCATCATTAGGATATATATGGTTTAAGCATTTTGCATGAGGACTGAACAGCGTTATTCTCGTATAGTTGTGGAGTTTGATTACCTCTGAATCAATATGTATCTACATCTAAGATTGAAAATTTTTCTCCTTGGCAGCATAACTTTCTCATACTGAGATGACTGAGTCTTTGAAGCTAAAGGAGAAGTAATATGATCAGTAACATTGGTTATGGTTTTGACCAGCCTTGGTGGTTCACTTTCTTACTCTAAAGTTAAGTGAAACAGTCTCAAGAAAAGCAGAGGAAGAAGCATCAGCTTCCTCAGAGAATGTCGGCACGTATTGACATTGAAATACTAGCGAATATGGAATATTTTACAGTTTTCATTTTTTACCCATTTAGAACGATGAACTTCTTATGCTTTGTGAAAAAGGCACTGAAGCGTTGAAACATGTTACTGAATTGCAAAAGTCTAATGAAATGCTGAATAGGTATTGTACTGAATTGAAAAGAAAACTTGACGATCTACACAAAGAATTGGATAAAATGGTAAGATAGTGTATATATATATATATATTGTTGTGCTGCATTTCTAGTGTTACCGTGATGACAGCGTAATTTTAAAAAATGTCAGTGTGTCAGGATTGTGGATGCTTCAGAGCATTTAAATTATTTTCTATGTGTACAGACTGTTTGTGAGATTGAGATTTGTTCAAATTAGCGTAGACTTACGCATTCATTGTCATCCTTTGAACTATGCAAAGCTTCAATAACATTCATCCACACCATCCAAATTTATCTTTTTTAGCATTATTCTGTCGTCTGCTTCGGAAAGGTGTATCTCATTGAACTGATAGATCTTGCCGTGGAGCTCAGAGTTCATTTGTTTATCGATAATCATTTGTACACATACATCACATAAAAGACAGATCTGGAATTCTCGCTTTCAGATAACCATTAAATACTTTGAAATATAGAAATGACAACAGAACGTGAGCAGAAAACTAGATCACATAGTAACCTGAACCAGTAGCTTTTGGCTCACCTGCTGTCAGTTAATCGAATAGCACTTGATATCCCCATTTAAATCAGGTTACATTTCCTCTTCAGTTCTGAGAAGTTTCATCTGTTACTCAACAAAAATGCAGAGGAAAATGGATGCGGGTCAGGCGTATGCTGAGGAGACCGTCCGGTAATGTCGTGCTCCAGACAAACGCTTGAGTCGGACCTGATTGGGAGACAAAGAGTTGGGCGTCCGAATGGGACGTGGAAGAGGTCGTATTAGGAGGAGATCAGATCCTGTGGGAATTTGCGGGGCTAGCTAGAGAGGACTGTAGGAAACGGGGAAAATGAGAGCCTGGTGTCGAAGCCTCATGTTCCACTCAAAAGAATAATTGTAATAAATTAAAATCACTCTCAATCAAGTCTCTTTTTTGACGATGACTTCCAAAAATATTATTGGCCAGGAATAATGATTCAGTTAGTAACGGAAACAGGGATAGACAAAACTACTGTTGACTGAAACTATACGAAAATAATGGATGGTTATAGATTTGTTTCACTCGGTCACTGAGTCAGTTTCCAGGGTTATTCATCTGAACACTATCATCAGTATGCTCAACATTTCAAATGAGTCAAGACCACCATACATAGTGAAACACTTTTCTAGCTAATTGTGTTTCGAACGGTAGGGTCGAACATATAGCTCGCTGTAACCAATCACTTTCCAAATTACAGATTTCTACCAGTGTAGACACTCGTTTACTGAACATTTCAGCAATGTAGAATAGTTGGCGTCGCCCAGATGATATATCTGACTTTGAATCTAGCAGTCTGTCGGTCAGTCTTTAAGGGTTTACAGGTCTAAACCAGCCAAAAATCATGCCAGTCACATTTAAATATCTGAAGCGACTTGTGCATTGTATGTTGCCTTTAGAGAAATGCCATTCAGACTTGCTTCATAGAACTGTTCATTTGTGACAAGTGAGTTTGAAGTATTCACTAAACAGAAGGTACTGAAATTGGATGAACTGATGCCACTAAAACATATGTTCTATGCACTCAACCACTGTGTGATTCAGTATAATTTGTTCGGTTATAGTTAAAGCTACCAGGTGATATGGCTAATAACTGATGGCAAAAGTCTAGATATGTTCACAGTTCACCTCCTCTTACAGCTAACAGTATATTTGTTATGGTTATATATATATATCAAAGTGAAACAGTATTATTTACTGGCTAGTTGTAGGTGTTTGTATTTCATAAAACTGGATGCCTAGATGAGGACTTGTGGAAGGGAGTTGTACCGAAGATGGAAGCTATACAATCGACAAAATCAGCTAGGTGCACATCTCCGTCATAAAGAGTGCTTCATTTCTTCTGTTTTTTTCCTCGCTTTGTTGAAAGACAGCATGAAATCCAGTCACAGATTTTTGGATAGTTCCATAAGATTTTTAAGGCGAAAATGGCATGGCAGTACGAAGAAAAGAAGTCAAGTCAAGTGCTACGCGTTGATAAGCACTTTGTCATATTAATGTTTAAAAGTTACGAACCGCCTTCCGCGTCCCCCTCCCTTACAAATCTGCCAATAAACAGACGCTTTCTCCTGGTTCGAGACTTAGCAGCGGGATAAATGCCTCTGTTTCAGTGCATTTATTGATTGTCTTTATTTCTACCTTTCTATATTTTGTCCCTCATTAAATATATACATATATATATATATAATTTTGCATTTGGACCAGCTGTTGTTCGTCTTTAATTCAACCAGGGAACAAAGTATTTTTCACATTTAATAAAAATTCTACGATGTAGGTAGATTTATTGATGAAGTTAACAAATGCACTTTAAATTGATGCTTTTATAGAACATGTTTTCACTAGATATCACTTTAAATGTGTTTTGCCTTATTACTGTTCCACTTTATTGTCCGTGTTTTTGAAACTGTTTATAATTTATTTTTGCCCTAGTCAGTAACTCCTTGAACTAGTTAGTTTCTTTACTAATATCATATTTTATTCAGCATTACAGAAATGTAAACCGGTTGAAATGGTTTTCTGAGGAGTTTATCAACTGACTGACTGGTTGGCTGGTTGTTTTCAGTCGAAATACTGACTGAATCATCATGAGTTACTTAATTAGTAGTCTGGGATTTATGCTTGCATTTAGCCTGCGCTTCACCTTTATCCGCCACTTATATATATATATATCGTAATCACTACAATTTAGTTTGTTTGCCTAATTACCGAATGTTATTTAATGTTTATTTGACTAGGGATACAGAGAATCGCTTGAGTAGTTAGCTGTTTGATATTAGTGCATGAAGAAATCACTGTAAAACCAAAGAATATTTAATACGAATACTATCCAGTTCAGAAAATCTTCCTCATTATTTCAGAATACTAAAGTGCTAACTATTTCAGTATTTTTGTGAACTGTGACTGTGTATATCTATGGAGAAATTCAAGCATGAACACTACCGCCGGAGGAATATGTTATCTTCTAGGGTGAATACTTACCACAGATGACGATATTCAAATCAGTGGTAGATATTGAGAGAGAGAGAGTGAAACCAAGCGAGAAACGAGATAACTGAAGGTTATTCAGATGAAGAGTTCCCACCCCCCACGTAATTTTTTAAATACATCTTAGTTTACATGGAAATTTGTAGATTTCCTCAAAACACACTAGTTGAGAGTGTTGTCTAACTGGTATAACTGGGAAGCAGTTGCTTTTCTTACACATGTATATTTGTAAAATTTGATGAGATTACTTACTGTAGACGTATCGACTGAATAATAATCATGGACCTTGATGACTGAATTTCAACAGTTCTATAATCACAATAACTTATATAATGATAACGGACCGGTGGTAAAACACTAATCACATTACTGCCGTATGACGAAAGGCTAAGAGAAGTTTGACGATTACACGTATATTCTAACAACTATTCTATTCCGCTAAAAATGCTGGCTGTTGATTTGAGGCACGCGGGGAGATGTAGACTGTGTCTCCTTTAGATTATCGAGACAATAAGGACCAATGGCTGTAGACTGTTGGCGAAATGATTGAAAATAGTTTTCTCAATGGAGCACTGCTTGTTACCTTCCGAATCCATGAAATCCTTATTATTCTCCATGTTATTATTCTTTCCTCCGCACGTTTTCATTTATTATAGTTCCTCTGCACTTGGCTTTTTCTCTCTTGTTTCATGTGTACTTTTATTAAGTGTAGAGTTATACATTGAAAAAGCCGTCCAGTTCAGCTGTCTTCTGCATTTATTTTCACCTTTCTTTACCATTGCTATCTTGTGTCTAAGTCTAGTGAAATTGTCTGTCATAGCAGTATTGTAATCGTCGAATCGGCCGACTGTAGAAAATCATTATTCTTAATTAGAATCTGCCATCTGATGATTTGATTTCTTTACAGGATTTCATCATGAGCTGACATTGGTTAGAGAACCATTGGAAAACCTACAGGGAGTACTCGACAGTTGTTTCGTCCTAGTTTGGGACTCTTCATCAGTACGCACCCACCGGGGTTCGAACCCAGGACCTTCTGGTTATAAGGCGAGCTTGTATACCATTAAGCCACTGAGACCCGATTCAATCATCCATGAATTCTAACTTCTGCCAATTCACGACATAGCGCGACCCCTAGCCAATGTCTTCGGTGAGTATTTGTCCTCACACCCGACCTGCTGCACCCTACTGGTCACGACTTCCCACTGAAACCCCAGGTAACCCCAGATTTCTCCTTGAGGATCTGTATGTCCACAAGGTATAACAGCAAAAAGTGAGTTAGACTATAACTACTGTTGATGCCATGCCAGTGCTTATTTCATTCAGAGCGTTAAATTTTATACCACAAACATTCTAGTCTGAATTTTACTCACTGTATGTTTTCCATCTGTTTTACTATTATCCTTCTATAACTCTGCCTTACTGCTCACCGTGAAACTGTAATAACTAGGAATGATATCCACTACGAGTTGGAATCTCTTTGAGACTCCAGTTTTCCACAGTATTCCTCACGTTTACAAAAATCAGTTCATAAAACCAAGGATAGATATCTTAGCTGACCATGTAAAAATGAATTCTCCTAACTATGTGCAATAACCTCGACATTTAAAAAAATTTTCTTTCTTGACGTTGTGCAATTTTCTTAAGAATGCAAAAATGAGAGTAATTTTCATGATAAAAAATATTCCCTGTTATCTTTGTTTATGCATTATTTGAAGAAGTCCTTAGTAGTTCAAGGCTCAGTTAATTAAGAAGAAGGATAACACTTTTTTCACTAACTTCCTCCTCAGTTTCTATAGACTGATACGCACTGTGTATGGGTATGACTGTGAAACTTGAAAGTGAGGCTGTTGAAAAGGCAAATTTCTTCATAAACGATGTATTGCATGTAATAACTCGTTCCGAGTGCTCAATTCACTATCGGCAAAACTCATCCATCTGTTAGTAGTGAAGATGTGGATGATTTCAGCACGTCTGTACAGTCAAAGGAACAACTTCATGAAATACTTTACTCAGTATGATAATGAA